GGACTTGTCTCCTGCATGCCTGGAAGCACTAAGCTCTCTAGATCGCCCCCCACATGGCGAGGCCCCGCTCCAGGGGGAGGCCGACGCCCTCGCCATTGCAGCAGCCGCCAGAGGCTCGAGCGCCCTTCTCGCCCCCGCAACGCCCACACTTCGTGGGGCAGCAGACGTGGATCGCGACGTTGGCGGGGCCCCCGCACACCCTCAGGCTCGGAGCTACCTGGCGAGGGGGGAGATCGCGCAGCCGCAATGGGCGCGAGCCAGCACGCGCACGTGATTCACACGGTGAGCGGGATGCTCGCCACCAATCTGAGCGTCGCCGAGGCCGACCCGCGCGCCCACCGCGGCGAAGGGCTGGACCTGCAGCAGCAGACCGCGCAGACGCTCCATGACGCACCGAATGACAGAGGCCCGAGCACCCAGCTCGCTTCGACGGCGCCCACGCATCAACTCAGCGCAGGAGCCAAACCTGCACAGAGCGAGGAGGGCGCCATCCTGCCAGCAGACGTGGACCGCGACGCGGCCGGGCCCCACCGCGCCCCCGACGGTCCGGAGGCACCAGGCGGGAGAGGAGATCGCGCAGCCCAGGGCGAGAGCCAGCTCGCTCACGTGGTCCACTATGAGGGCAGGAAGCTGCCCACCGACTTCAGCGACCCCGAACGCGACCCCTTCGCAGACCTCGACGACGAGCTGGACCATTGAAAGCCCGGCGAGAAGTCGCACCAGGCCCTCTCTCCAGACACTCCTGTTCGTTACTCGGAGCTTCGCGCCAATCAAGATGGGGACTCTGCGCGAGGACCCCGACTGTGAAAGGCGATGCGCCATCCTCGGCGAGTCCGAGCTTGCGCCAAGGTGGCGGGGCGCGCGAGCAAGCTGGTGTTCAGCGGGCAGCTGCGCGGCAGAAAGGCCAAGAGCTGGCGCGATGCGCTCGCCGACGACCACTTGCGCGAAGCACCTATGCTGCGCGAGCCGGCGAAAGGCACGGGCGAAGGCGCGGCGGAGATCGTCAACGAGACGGTCGATCGCACCCAGGATCGCTCGGCGTGCCTCGTGGCCTTGCTCGCCAAGCATCAGCGCGAGTGGTCTCGAGTGTGGAACGTCCGCCCGTTCGACCAACTCGACCAGGCATTGCCCGCCCTGCGCGCGGCCACCATTGCGGCGATTGCAGCGGGAGGCCACGGGCACCGACGAGGCCAGGACATGCCAGCCAGGGGGCATCCCCCCACGCCACCTGGGATAGCTCAGCGATGTCGAGCCGCTGACGACCCTGCTCAACATCATCACGGAGGAAGAGGTCTCCCCCGCGAAGGAGCAGGATATGCCCACGGCGCAGTTCACCAAGCCGACGGGAGGACGCAGACCCACCACTGGCCAGCTCAAAGGCTTGCACCGCGCGTGGGGGAGATGCCACAAGCCAGCCCTGCAAAAGAGGCAGCGTACCCTGGATTGGCGAGGCATCTCCAACACACACATACACACACACACACACACACCTCGCTCAAGGTAGCGGACTGCGCGCGGCGAGCAGCGGCGCGCCCGGAGGGCGCCGCGCGCGAAGGGAAGGCCGCCCTCATCCTGCCGCGGGGCTTGGCCAAGGCCTTCGAGAAGGTCTCGCACGACATCCCGTGCAGCCTGTCGTACAAGGAGATGTCCCCCCTGCGCGTCCTGCGCGTGGTCATCGGGGCCTTCCGCTGGAAGCGCGCGCCCCTCCTGGACGGCGTCGCGCGCGACGGCCTGCACCCTGGGAGTTGCATCGTGGCAGGATGCTCAGCCACCTATGCCCTGCAGGCCTACCTCGTGATCGAGCTGAGGGCGCAGGCCATGGCCCACCCCGAGGTCGGCGTCGCGGTGCGCGTGGGCGACATCAGGCGGAAGGTGGTGGCGAACGACGGCGGCGCGTGCGTGGACCTCATGGCAGGGGTTGCCCGCGGGCTCAAGAGTGCGCTGCGCCATGAGCTCAAGATGCAGGCGGCCGATGCCAAGGGCACCATCCTGGGGAACGGCGACGCCATCGCGGGGAAGGGCATGCGTAGGTTGGCGGGTTTGGGTCCATTCAAGAGAGAGCCATGGGCGTCGACCAGAAGGGCAGCCCGCAAGGGCGCAGGCAGGCACCAGAAGACCCAGACCTCAGTCCGCCATCTTGGAGCATACTTTCGCGCGGGACGTCGTCGACGCGGCGCTACCGCCATGTGCGGCCACCCAGGCCTTGCGAGGGGTGAGAGGTGGAAGGCGGCGAAGCAGCAATTCGACATGGCGCATCGTGCGATTAATTGCCCACGAAGAAATGGGGCGGCGAGGTTAGCGGCTTCGCCCTCCAGGGGCTCGACGGCATGAGGCGCATCACCAAGCAGGTCTACGAGCACTGCCACATGTCATCGGACGTGTCCGGCGCCATCTACCCGAAGATCGACCCTGTCGGCAAGGCCGCTTTCACGCCCGCGGGCCGCAACCTGGAGGAGCTGTGGAGGGCACGGATCAGCAGCGCCGACATGGGAAAGCGTTATCCATCACCACCATGCGCAGAGTGTTCGAGCAAGCCCTCCCAGACAACGTTGCTGGCAAGTCGGAGGCGGGGCCCATCGGCGCGGTGCTGATGGCGACCGCCGCGGCAGGGTGGTCGGTGCAGAGTGCGACAATTATCGTCTCTCCGCGGCGCGGCAAGTTGTCGGCGCTCGAGCACGCGCCCAAGCGCATGGCGAAGTCGCACCTGCGCGACGTGCTCGACCGATTCTCCAAACGCGCCTCAGACAGCGCACGGCGGCGAGAAGGGCTGGACGAACGCGCGCCCCCAGACGTCTGGTGGAAGGTCGTCGAAGCGACGGTCGGCAGCAGACACTTCACCCCGCTGGAGATGGGCCATCACCGCGGTCGTCGGCGGCACCCACCTCACGGGCACGCGCAGGCGCTGCGGAGCGCGGGGCGATCTGAGGCACCGCCTGAATTCGTGCGCGGCCTTCGCCGAGGGCCGCGGAAATGCGGCGCCGCCCCTCCTCCGCCTCCAGCGGCGCGCGCCGGGGAGCGAAGGTGGCATCGGACCGTTCTGCGCGCGAGCCCCGTCTCTCCCCGCTAGGCCCGGCGCGGCCTGCCCCGTGGAGCCCAGGAAGTTGATCGTGCGAGCCCTCGTTGGAGATGGGCCCGTGCCGATCGACAATTCTGCGTTCGAGCCCGACCAGCCTCTTGCTGGAAACGGGTCAGCCACCACCAGTGCCCATGAGGAGCTCCGAACGGCGGGATGGGCGGTGGTTCAGCGGGGGCCCCAATCGGCTTTCTCACCTCCCAGCTCCCTCCCTCTGCTCACGCGGCCGAGTTGCAAGCCTACTGTCTAGGGGCAGGGCAGACTATGCAGACGGCTACCAACCGTGCATTGGCGACAACGCGGCGGCGTCGGCCGCCAGAGCACGCGGGCGCGCGTGCACCACCAGCCCAACTTGGAAGGATGGCGCAGATGGAGGCGCGGCGACCTCGCGCGCAGCGCGGGGCTGAATGCGAAGGCGCACCAGGACGTCCCCGCCGCCCCTCAGACGGAGGGCGAGCGGCGGATCGCCCTCAACTCTCGGGCCGACGACGCGGCCAAAGAGGCGCTCAACCTGTGGCCCAGGTGGGCCCGAGCCGAGTCTACCCTGGAGGACGCCCGTGCCGAGGCGCGGCGGGGCCCGGCGAATCTGCGGCGGGTGCTGGCCAGCGGGCCCGCTCCCGAGGTGGACACAATTGCCCCCGCGCGCGCGGCCCCGACGTTTGCGCGCCCGTGCTTTCTGTTGCGCGAACTGCGCGAGGTGGCGGCGCGCTTAGTGTTTGCATTTTTTCTTGAGCTGGAAGGCCAGGGTGCTCTCAGAGCGCGGGCGCGAGGCGCCCTAGGGTTGGAGGGGCCTGCGCGAGTTCGCGGGCTCACACGTCCTGTGGGGAGCGGTGATTGGCCCGAAGGACAGCTCACCTGAGCGGGGCGATGCGTTGCTGCACTGCGTACAATGCGCGCAGGGTGCCCAGCTGCACCCCGCGGGCCTGGCCAAGAGCTGCCCAGCAAGGCAGCCTGGCTTTGTGTGTTTAGACCACATGGGCAAAGAGCGGTGGAGCCGCTTCGAGCGCGGCCTCCGCCCCAGGACTGGGATGAAAGAGGTCGTCCTCGAGCGCTGGGCCCTCGAAGACCTTGGTTTGCGCACTCACGGGTGCCTGGTGCACCTCTGCACCTGGCACGCTCGGCGTCCACATGGGGAACACATAATGCCGCCTCCCTGCTCTGCGCGAGCTCCTGCCTCCCTTCTCCGTTTTCAGCGGGAACTCCCGCGCGCACATTCCTCCAGAAATCGTCATCGGTGCCGCCATCATCCTCATCATCCTCAGCATCAGCAGAATCGTCGTCGTCGATGTCGTCGTTGACAACATCGTCATCGTCATCACCACCATAAACATCGCGTAGTCATCGTCAGTTTCATCATAGTCGTGAGCATCGCCAACGCCATCGTCATCATCAGCCGTATCCAATTTGTCTTCGTCATCATCGTTAACATCATGGTCATCCCCATATCGTCGTGACCTGCATCATCGGGATCATCGTCGTCATCATCGTCGTTGTCGCCGAAGTCGTCGTCCTCCATTTCAACCTCGTCGCAGTGGTGTAGTCGCCAATCGCCATCATCATCAGCAGCAGCAGCATCGTGAGCATCATCATCATCATCATCATCATCATCAGCAGCAGCAGCAGCAGCAGCATCAGCATCAGCATCATCATCATGGTCCTGTCATTGTCATCATCGTCACCATCGTGACCACCACCACCATTTCTATTGGCATTTTCATGATCGCCACCCCCATCATCACCATTGTCATCGTTGGCGTCAGGATAATCGTCGTCTTCGGTCCACGTCGTCAGAAACTCCAGCAGCATCATTATCAGTGAAATCATTTGCGCCATTATCACAATCGCCACCATCGGGCGGGAGGGATGGAGGAGGAGGCGGGGAGGGAGGGAGCAGGCGGGAGCTTTGGGCCCCGCTCTGCCTGGCGAGGCAGCGCCGACCGGCGGCTTCGCCCTGCCCCCGCCGCGCCCAGCCCACCGGGCAACGCCGCGATGGCGGCGCGGCACAGGCCGCCGCCGCCCCCGCTGGGCCATGAAAGGGACGGTTTCCCTCGGGCACAGTCGCACCGAGGTACAAGATCGAGGTCGGTTCGTACATGGCATCATAATGTTTTTCGTGTTTGTTGGATGTTCTTGTGCATCCTGGGGAGGGTACCCTTGGATTTCCCGTGTGTCTTGGTGGCCGGCGGAGGGTCTCATGTTCTTGGTGGATGCTGTTCTGTCCGAGGTCCGACTGTAACAATCGAGTCGGGGAACGAACGATGGCATCCACGTGAAAACTCGAAGGTCCCGGCGGACCTCCGCCTTTGTATGGTTGTGCCCCTGCTCCCCTATCACGGTCGAGGAAGCTTGAACATGGAGTGCGGCGCGTGGATCCGTGGCGCGTCCCGTTTCCATGAGAAGACGGCGCGTTCCGTTGCCAGGTCAGATTGTGTTGGTTCCACGTCTCTCCCTCATCCGTGTCAGCACGCGCCCGAGACAAGACGGCGTCTTTGGTTCGGTCGCGTCGGCTGCCTCGCTCGAAAGCGGCCACGAGGGGGTGATGATTGGGAGAGGGGGTAGGGCCAGGATGATGAAGTTATGAAATCTCCCCAGAGTTTAGGGCCGACTCTTATTTCAAGATGCCCCCTCTTGGACGCCCCCCTCCTAGACGCCTCCAACTCGCTAGCGTGTAGCAGAGAAGCGAGAACAAAAGCCCGCCCTGATTCTTTTCAAAGCGTCGAAGGTCTTTGGGAGACAGGCCTGGAAGTCGCCCCCCGGACCCGCTGCGGGGTGCGCCCTGGCCAGACTCTCGCGGGGAACCCGTGGACATGAGAGCGCCTGACAGTGGAAACCCATGCCAAGAAACACCTGCTCGATGATCCTCAGGACTCAGAGGAGGAAAAGGTACCCATACCGCTACGTTTCGCCCGTGTTGCTCTTTTTTCTGGGCCTCGCGGGAGGACTTCGTCGCCACTGGGTCCGCCTCGAAATTCTAGTCAGAACGCACCCCAGGAGAGGTCCAGGGAGTAGCGGCATCGGTATCATTTGGTTTCCCCAAGGACGTGTGTGATTCTGACAGTGGAAGCCCATGCCAAGAAGCATCCTGCTTGCTTCCAGGGTGCCCTGGGTTTCTTGGGTTTCGATGGTTTGTTGATGGAAAGCGTGACGTCCCCGCACCAACAATCAATGGGCACCCTGGGGTCTCTCAGGGTTGGGTTTCTTGTGGAAGGTTTCTTGTGGTCTAGCTCGTACTGCACGAGGCCCAGAAAGGCCAACGAATATCCCGAACCTAGAACCTCAGATCTTCAGATCCTCCTCGGAATCCCCCGTCGGTGGGCATTCTTGCCGCGCTCCTGATGCGCCACAGAGGCGTCCAGGGACCCCTGACGGAGGTTCAACAAGGGCTTGAAATGTTCAAGGATTCGGGGCTTCAGGTGCAATGCAGGCTTGGCGGATTTGAAGGTAGTGTTTTCAAGTTGTTGTTGAAGGCAGCGCTTATGGGGGGAAGAGGAAGGATGGACATGGAAGGAAAGGGCAATGCAGTGCAATGTAATTCGATGTCAATGCAAAGTAATGCGATTACAATGCAATGCGATTGCAATGTGAGGAAGGAGACTGGAGGGAGGGGGAAAGGAGATCTCTCACACTCCTGGGCCTCAGGGGGATCCCCAGGACAAAAGAAACGGTACTAGTGGATGTTTGGGTCCTTTTTCTTGATCGGGCCGAGCAACAAAAATTGGGGCGGGTGGTTGTTGGGGGTCTGGATGTGTTGTTCCTTTCAGACATTTCCCCAGGCCTCCAGCAGGAGGGGGGGCGGAGGGAGCGTGGACGCTCCGCATTTCCTCATTCTTGTATCCCCCCCTCCCCCCATACCTGACTCTCCCCTCCGCTTCCCCCGCGGCCTCCAGCAGGAGGGAGGAGGGCGAAGGGAGGACGTGCTGCCCCGCCTCATCTTCCCACTCCCTCCCCCGTTATCCCTGCTTCCCAGTCCTCTGTCCCGCCACCAGGCCTCCAGCAATGGGCGGCGTGTCACCGACGAGTGTCCAACATATCCCTCGTCAGCAGTTTCGTCGGCATCATCCCCCAAAGGGATGCACGTCATCACCATCATCTTAAGCACAGACTCGTCACCATCATCGTCCTCGGTGTCATTCCAAAGGGGGTGCACATCATCACCATCGTCATCAGCAGCATTTTGAAATCATGCTCGTCATCACCATCGTCATCGGCATCACCCTCAAAGGGATGCACGTCACCACCGTCGGCATCGACAGCATCTTGCCTACCCGACTGCGGCCGCGAAACCACCTGAGGGAAGGGGAAGGGACGGAACCGCCTCCCCCTTCCCGAGAGAATGAGAGGACAAGGAACATCTTCCCCCCCTTCCTGATGGAAATTAAAGGGAAGGGATACCCTCCTCCTTCCCTTCCTCTTCCTGAGGGAGAGGACAGGGAAGGAATCCCCCCCCTCCTCCTCCTCCTCCTCCTCCTCCTCCTCTTCCTCCTCCTCCTCCTCCTCCTCCTCCTCCTCCTCCTCCCTCCCTCCTCCCCATCCTCCTCCTTATTCTTCTTGCGGGAAAGGGAAGAATAACTCATCTGCCTCCTCCTCTTTCCACCGGGAAACGCATGGGAAAGTACCTCCTCCCCCTCCTTCTGACGGACAGGGGAAGGAAGGAACCTCTCTTCCTCCCCCTTCTTGAGGGAAAGGAGAGGGAAGGAACCTCGTCCTCCTCCTCCTACTGCAGGGAGGGGAAAGGAAGGAACTTCATCGTCCTCCTGCTTCCTGAGGGGAAGGGAAGGGAATGGACCTTCTCCTCTCCATCCTCCTTCTCCCCCTTCTGGAGAGAAAGGCAAAGGAAGGAGCATCCCCCTATTCCGTCCTAAGGGGAAGGGGAGGGAAGGAACCTCCTCACACTTCAAGGGAAGGGAAGGGGCGGAATGCCTGGAATGTCTTCCCCTTTCTTCCTGGCGGAAAAACGAAGGGTATGAACTTCCTCCTTCTCCTCCTCCTTCTCAGGGGAAGAAGGGAATAAGCCTCCTCATCCTCCTCATTCCTGAGGGAGCTGGAAAGGAAGGGAACCTCCGTTTCCCCTTCAATGCACGGGACGGACCCGCCTCCTCCTCCGTCCTGAGGGAAACGGGCAGGAACCTCCCTCCTCCTCCTCCTCCTCCTCCTCGTCCTCCTCGTCCTCCTCCTCTTCCTCCTCCTCGCTCTGAGGGAGAGGGAACGGAAGGAACCTCCTCCTCCTCCGTCCTGAAAGAAGGGATGGGAGCGAGCCTCCTTCTCGTCTTCCCCCTCGCTCCTGAGGGAAAGGGCACCGTAAAAAAACACCAGGACTGCTTTGCACCTGAAGCCGAATTCGGACCGTCCTCTTCGTCATCCTCCTCCACCTTCTCATCATCATCATCATCATCATCATCATCATCATCATCATCATCATCATCATCATCATCATCATCATCATCATCATCATCATCATCATCATCATCATCATCAATAACAATCATCACCGTTATCATCGTCGTCGTCACCATCGCCATCACCATCATGTTCCCGTCGCGCGGCCGACGGCGAGGAGGGCCAGCAAGGCGCGTGCGGGCGCCCCCCTGGACGTCGCCGGCTACCACGCGTTGCGCTGCCCCGCCGGGCCACATTGCAACCGGCTCCACAGTGAGATCGTGCGGGCCCTCACCAGGTGGATATCTTCCCGCGGCGGGCGTGTCGACATCGAGCGCTGCGCAACCGAATTGTACCGCTTGCACGGCGGCGGCGTCCTCGAGGAGGCGCGCGTGGACTCGGTCATCAGCTGGCCGGGCGCCCCGGCACCGGCGTGGGTCGATGCAGCGGTCCGCTCGGCCGCGGTGTCGGGGCCAGCTGAGCGGCTTGTCGGCCACGAAGCGGCGGACGCGGAGCACCAGAAGCGCAACCGTTGCGGCGCGACGGTCTGGAGCAGGAAAAAGGAGGAGGAGGAGGAGGAGGAAGGATGAGGAGGAGGAGGAGGAGGAGGAGGAGGCGGTTTCGTCGTGGAGGCCGAGGGGCGCCTGGGCGCCTCGGCGCAGCAGTTCATCGCGGAGACCGCGGCGGCGGCCCGCCGCGTGGCGATGCTGCCAGGCGAGCTGGGCGGGCAGCCTACGCGCGGCAGAACTCCTCGCGTGTTTACTTACGTTTGGTAGGAGTCCCATGTGTCGCGCTCCTGGGGGATCGACTGTCACCATCAACGCCGTCATCATCCTCCTGATCATCTTCTCTTTCGATCCTCCAGAGTCTTGAGGTATCCCCTTTCCTGGCCAGTTCCTCTGGGCGGGAGGCCGCTTGTGGAGGGAGCTTCCTCCCAACTCACTCGAGGTGCCTCCTGGGGTTCTGGGCGCGGAGGCTGAGCGATCTCCGCGAGGAAGGCCTCCGTTCCCGGCTGCAGTCCAGTCGCTGTCCCCACGGCACGGATTCACAGCCCGCGGGGGGCGCCACGCAACTTCCCCCTTTTCTGGGGCCGCCAAAGGGCGGTGATGAGTAGGGTGGTGGGATATCATGGCGGGGACCATGATGTTTCCGCAGATTTCACGGCGCCTCTTCTTTTTTGAATGCGTCCACGGCCACCCCCTGGGCTGCGCACGTGCCGCCGGCCATGATTTGCGCCCCCCTTTTTGGACGCCCCCGACCTCTTCCTCCTCTTCAGATCCTCCGCCGACGGCCGTTCAGGCCGGAGCGGCCTCAGCCCGCTAAGGGCGCCTCCGCGCCACGGGGGCCGCGGGCGCCTCCGCCGGGGGCGATGGCGGACGGCGCCGCCGCCCAAGTGGCCTCGGGGCCCCGCGAAGGCGGCGCGGAGGACCCGTCCGATCCGACGACGACGACGACGACGACGACGACGGGGTCTAGGGCGGAGGGCGGGGTCCAGGGCGGAGGGCGGAGGGCGGAGCGCGGAGGGCGGAGGGCGGGGCGGCGGGCGCCTCCAGGACCCGTCCAACGCGACGTACCAGTTCCTGGGCGAGGAAGCGCACGCGTTTCTCCGGCTTGCGCTGCTTGGGCCGAGGAGAAGGAGGAGGAGGAGGAGGAGGAGGAGGAGGAGGAGGAAGAGAGTCGGGGGCGGAAGAGAGGGGGGTGATGACTGGGGGGGGGATGTCATGGCGGGGGCCATGATATTTCCCCAGATGTTAAGGCGCCTCCTCTTATTTCATGACATCCCTGGCACCCCCGCTGGGCCGCGCACGTGCCGCCAGTCATGATGTGCACCCCCCCTCTTGGACACCCCCGTCTTGGCCGCTTCCGATGGAGGAACAGGTCTGATAGCGCCACCGTTACTTCGTTTTTCCGGGGCCTCCCGGGAGGCCCTCGTTGCAATTTGTGGATTCGTTGCGAGATTTTGGTCAGAACGAATCCCTGGATGGGGTCCGGGAACTAGCGGTATCAGTACCTTGTACTTCCTGGGCGAGGAACCGAAAATTATCCCAGTGCGACCCTACCTAGGAGTTGGAGCCCCTAGGAAAGCAGCATTGGTAGTAACAGTAAAGCTAAGCTAAAGCTACGCTGAAGCTAAGCTAAAACTAAGCTGAAGCTAAGCTGAAGCTAAGCTGAAGCCAAGCTAAAGCTAAGCTGAAGCTAAGCTGAAGCTAAGCTGAAGCTAGGCTGAAGCTAAGCTAAAGCTAAGCTAAAGCCAAACTAAAGCTAAGTTAACGCTAAGCTAACACTAAGCTAAAGCTAAGCTAAAGCTACGCTAATGCTACGCTAAAGCTAAGCTAAAGCTAAGCTAAAGCTGAAGCTAAGCTACAGCTAAGCTACAGCTAAGCTAAAGCTAGGCTAACGCTAAGCTAAAGCTAAGCTAAAGCGAAAGCTAAAGCTAAAGCTAAAGCTAAAGCTCCTAGGGGACTGGGGGAACCGCGGGGCGGGGACTGGGGGAACCGCCCGGGGCGCTTTACACTGCCCGGCCCTTTAAGCTAAGAGAGTATGAACCCTTCTAGGCAGAGCCTAGGTAGGGAACAACCAAAAGGAATAATCATGCACTATCGTTGCTCCCCCTTGGCTGCGCCTCAGAAAGTTTATGTCTATGCAGTTTTTCACTCTTTCACTCGTTTCCTGCTTGCGCTCTTGGGCTCGCTGCAGAGGAGTTCCGCCCCCCCGGCCTCCCTCAGGGTATGTGGAGTTGGGGGGAGGGGAGTACCGTTTCGGACGGCACAAGATGTATTTTCTCCCCCTAGGGTTTTAAATGTTCCATCCTCCTCCCCTTCCCCTCCCCCTCCTCATCATCATGCGTCTCCAGGCCAAGCAGAAGTCAGTCGCCATCATTCGTTCTGCTGGCGAGCATCATTAGGGGGACCTGCTGGGACCCAGCCAGGCTAGCGGAGGTGCAGCGGCTCCAGTTGGCGGTAACGCTCCTGAGCAGTCTCAGGTTGATTTCGTTTTCGGTGATGGGAGCCCTGAGGCCGAGGAGCATGGATGCTCTGCCGGCCCTGCGTCAGTTGCGCAGTTGGTAGCCCTCAGGGAGCACAGGTCTCGTCTGGGCTCGCGTGGCATTTCATTCCGAAATTCTGCGGACCCCCCAGCAGCGCATGTCGTCTGGGTCAGCGTGCGCGGCACTCCACTCCGCTGGGCCCCCGAGGAGATTCCAAAGTTTACAACAGTGGCGCTCGCGAGGTGGGCTGCATACACGAGATATGAAGCGCGCAGGCAGGAGACAGGAGGCAAGAGCCGGGAGGAGGCGGGAGGAGGAGGAGGGGGAGGCCAAAGAGGCAGAGGCGCGCGAGCAGCGCTGCCTTCAGAACGTGAACCCAGCGCAGGAGGGTTGGGTCAAGCCTCTGGCGCGATTTCTGCGAGCCGCTCGGAGGCGCGTCAAGGAGGGCGGCCCTCCTCTTCCACCCGCTACCGCCGACGGTGTCGCTCCTCCGCTCCTCCCCCCCGTTCCCCGAGATCTGTGGGGCATCGCTGCTCGGAGCCGAGGGCGGGCGCACGGGTATACATCGTTCGTCGTCGTCTTCCTCCTGTTCTTTGCCTCTCTGCTTCTCCCCTCCCATTCCTTTGGTTATTTCCCCCTCCCCCTGGCGTGATGTTCCTCTTGCTGCTCCGATGCCTTCTCGGTCTCCTTCTCCGCCACCTCCTCCTCCGCCTCCTCCGTTGTCCTCCTCCGCCTCCTCCGTTGTCCTCCTCCGCCTCCTCCCTCGCTCCCTCTCCTCGCCTTCGAGAGGACCACACGCTGGGCAACGCGCTTCGGTACATGTGGGGCTGAGGACAGCCGAGAGCTTCTGGGCGGCCGCGCAGAGATCGAGGCGGCCGACACGCTGTCGGCCTCCCGGGGGGGAAGCCGTTTCGTGCCACGGGGGCCGTAGGAGAGCGTCCCACAACGGGACCAATCATACAAAAACAAGTGTATAAGGGGGCATCGGAGGGCGCCAATGACCCACATGCACCGGCCTTGTGCCCAGGTGGGCGTGTTCAGGATTGGTTCAGGTGCGGAGACGACGCCTTTAGATCTTGCCGCCTCTCCGTCCTCCCTCCTCCATCCCTTGCTGCCTCCCTCACCCATCCTCCCTCCTCCATCGTTTGTATGGTTTGCCTCCTCTTTCGCCTTCTTCCGCGCCCCTCTGCCCCCAATCCTCTCCTCTTCTCGCTTACCATCCCTCCCTCCTCTTCCTCAATCCCATCTCCATCCTCCTCTTCCTCCAATTGACCTTCTTCCCCTGTTCCCCCTCTCCAGTCGTTCCAATCCAGGTCTCTATCATTTCCTCTCCTCCACCTCGCCCTCCTCTGCCCCGTCGTCGACGATTCAACTCCCCTGTTTCGTCTTCATCCTCCACCACCCGCATCGTAATACAGTGCCGTTTTTACTACATGCTCCTCGTGCGGATCAGGTATTAAAAATGCAGGGATTTAGTATTAAAAACAACGATGAGTTCATGCATACATGTATTCATACATTAACCATGTATTACACATTTTAGATGGTCAGCAATCCTATGGATTAAAAACTGCCCTGTACTACCGCCACTATTCCACCTCCCCTCCTCCCGCCATCCGTCTTCTTGTACTACCCCTCCGCCTACACCAGCTGGGGTGGTTTTCGGTCGTCTCCGCATCTTGTCTCCGCGATCTCTCCTTCTCCATTCAAGAGGCTTAGCCATTTCGCCGACCCCCAGAAAAGGCGGGAAGTCCTCGGTTGAGACGTCGTGGGTTTCTTGGGCATGATTTGGAGACTCGTGTGGGCGTCTTGGGAGCTGTTTGGGGGTTCTGGTGGAACCTCTTTGATGCAGTTTTGAATCGTCTTGGGGCCCGTTTAGGGGCCTCTATTGGGCCTCTTAGGGTGCCTCTTGGGGCTTATTGGGGGTCTTTTTTGAGCCGCCTGGGGGCTTCTTGCGGTCTTTGGGGGGCCGTTGGGGGGGAAGAAAGCTTATTCGGTTCGTGGTCTTGCTCTTTGCCTCTCTTGGGGCCCACTTGGGGCGATCTTTCGCCGTCTTGGCCCCTCCTTGGACCGTCTTCAAACCCTCCTGGGCCGTCCGGGGGCCCTCGTAGGGGCCTCCTGGGCAGTTTTGGGGCGGTCCGCGGGCCTCCTGGGCCGTTTTGGAGCCTCGGAAGCTCGAGAAGACGAGAACCCCAAAAATAATGAGCAACCAAAGGGAAACCAGTAATGTTTGCCTCGCGGGACCCTCTTGGGAAGGCTCCTGGGGCGTCTCGAAGGCGTCTTGGGGCGTCTTGGAGCCATCGTGAGCGTCTTGTGCCAGTCGTTCTGCAGTTCGGGACCGTCTTGGAACGACTTTGCGGCCACGGAGGGTGGCGCCGACGAGCCCGGATACCCCCCCCCTTGAACGAGATTTGGAATCTTGGGGCGGGGGAAAAGGGGGGAGGGGGAATGGCCTTTCATCTCACACGCCCTCTAACCCCCAGCAAGCGGGTGTCGGCGGATCCCTTCTTTCTCACTTTTGCCCTTCCCTCCTCTCCTCCTCCTCCTCCTCCTCCTCCTCCTCCTCCTCCTCCTCCTCCTCCTCCTCCTCCTCCTCCTCCTCCTCCTCCTCCTCCTCCTCCTCCTCCTCCTCCTCCTCCTCCTCCTCCTCCTTCCTGCTCGGGTATCAACTTTGCCTGCCCCGAACCCCTGTCGTGGAGGACGTTTCTGTCGCTGAGAGGGTAGAGGTATCAGTCCAGGGTTCTCTCCTAGTAGTTTCGTGATTCGTCCCCAGTGCGGTATTCGAGATGG